CCGTGTCGCCGCAGGGCTCGCAGCCCTCGCCCACGCAGCGGAGGGACGGCTTGGGGCCGCCGCCCAGGGGGGTGGACGATTCCCCCGGCCGCCGGCACTCGCGGCCTCCATCCCTCGACCTCGGCGGGCGGGCGCCGGAGCCGACGCCCCGGGGGAACTCCCCCGGTGGCCAGGTGCTGGCGGTGGCGTCACAGGCGGCGGCAGGGGCGGCGGCGGCGCCGGAGAGGAGCTTCCAGGCGCTGAACGCTTCCCCTCCGGACGAGTACCCTCTGCAGGTGGCCGCGATGGTGACCGCCGGGCGCCAGAGGATGTGGGGCGGGGCGGCGGGAGGGCTGGGCGTGGCGGAAGGCGGCGGCTTCGCGTACCAAGGGGACCCGGCCTTGGCGGCGGCCGGCGGGGGAGGGTCTGACAGGAGGGGGGTGATTGGTAGGTTGAGCGATGAGGCGGTGTCGCAGCAGCAGCAGCAGCAGCAGCAGCAGCAGGGTAGACGAGCCGACAGCAACGATGGCTCCGGCGGCAGCGACGACTTCGTCCTGGTCGACGGCACCACCTCGACGGACTCGAACACCGCCGCCGCCGTCGCCGCCGTCGCCGCCGCCGCCGCCGGAGTCGGCGGGGGGCATGCGCACGCCGCGTACCGATTAGCGGGCGAAGGGGACGCTGGCTCGCTCGGCCCTCGACTTGTCATCGCAGGCGGAAGGTGGGCCTGGGGAGGGACTGGGAACATGGCGCTGGGCCTTCAGCAGCAGGGGTTGGGAGCGGCGGCCCCACGCCCTGCCGATGGGCCGGGAGCGGGGGACGGTCGGGGAGCAGGCGCTGGAGCGGCCGTGCCGTCGCTGTCCTTGGAGGGGGTCCTGCGATGTCTACAGGTGGGGGGGGGGGGGAGTACAAGCGGCGTGCGGCGTGTTTTTCCCTTTGTCATCACTTGTCCCGCAATCGAAAAGAGAGAGCGCCAATGTCTCATGTGTTTCTGCAAAATTTGCCTGGGATAGTTTTTGATTCGCGCTTGCTTGGCCGTGTCCGACTTGGCTGCCGCGCGTGCCAGACATCAGCGCGACGAACGAAATGTATTCGGTTGCCGTACCTCCCTCTTCCACGTCGGATATTTCAGACTCTTGGATACTGTGGCACAAGTCGGTGTTGAATATTCACCCACAAATCGGGCGCCTGTACAAGGACATCCGAATCCACCCTCCGAGCCCACGTGTGTTTTGTCGCTAGGCTGGTCCCCTACCCCGAATGTATGTTGCCAACCGCTGTCTTTTTCGCCATGTTCTGACCCACATCTCAGATTGTCGAATTGTTCGGACGGCGCGCGGTTCTCTTGGCCGAGGTGAGACAGCTTGAATTGAGAGCCTCCAGTATCACAGCCAAAGGCGAAATGCTGTTTCTACAGCCTCCGAATTATTCCGCGTGTACTTGCGCAGCACAATGGCGGCCCTCGGCATTTTGGAATTGTTGGAAGTTAAGTATCCGTATACAACATGTCAGCCCTTTCTTCTTCCTTGGTAAAGGCGACATGTACACATGTACCGGAGGCCGCGGTACGCTTTAATCCGCGTTTTTCTACCAGGAAGATGGGACGTTTTTTTGGAAGAATCAACATGGTGCCTATGGCACATGTCAGTTCGTGCTCACCGCCACCAACTGCGGCACAAGCCCCTCTAACACGTGGGCCAACATCCGAGCTTCATTACATATCTTGAACCAACTTCTCCACCTTTTAACTTTTGAAGTCCCCCTAACCCGGGGCCAACATCCCAGCTTCATTACATATCTTGAACCAACTTTCTCCACCTTTTAACTTTTCGTCCTTTTTTCACAGCTGGGAGATTCTCGGGTGGCCCCCGCCATGCGATGCCGCCAAAAGTCGAAGCTTGACGTACACGCTCGGGCTGCCGCCGCCGGTGCATGGGGCGCGGAAGACGGCGCGGGCGACGGTACACCCGCCGGATCGTTTGCCCAGAACCGGGGCGGAAACTTCTGCGCGTTCTCTCGAGGTGTGTAGGGCATACTGCTGTAGAGGTTTCGTCCCAATCGTGCGGCCGATTCGAAGCGTTGGCCAGGTATCCGTAGGAAATGTGTGAATGATAAAAAACTGTGGTAGTCATGGTCCGATCTTGGCTTGGCTATGAGAAAACGGGGCAACGAGTGCAGTTTGATCGATCACGCGCGGCAGCCTTGCCGCTTACGTTCGTTCGCCGTCTTGGAGCCTCGCCCGCGTGCACTGTGGGCCTGCACACAGAAATGTTAGATGGAGACTTACCCAATATGCTACTCAGTCAACGCCGACTGAGTAGCATAGTGGATAAGTCTTTATCTAACAAGCTGACTGAGTAGCGTAGTGGATAAGTCTTTTTCTAACAATAAATGTAACCTCATCCACCACCAACTGTGCCTGGACCCTGGATTTTGCTTCTACCACCGGCAGACAACCCTCCGCTGTTCGCCGACATGGACGAGCCGTGGCTGCCGTCCTCGAGCAGTCATAGCGCCTGCCAGGGCTCCCGTAGCGGTGCTGGTGGTGGCGACACCGGCTTCTTGGGGTCCTCCGTCTCCTCCTCTTCGGCGGCCTGCTGCGACAGCCACCGTCTCTTCGGCGAAGCGCTGGTCCTGTACCTCAAGAGCCTCTCCATGGCCAAGGAGGCGATAGTCTGGGGCAACCAGGCGTTGGAGTGCCTTCCCGTATCGCCCACCGCCACAGCCCCTTCGTCCTCTTCTCCCTCCGCATCATCATCGCGCCACCAGGCGCCAAACCAACCGCCACCGCCATCTCCCCCGCCACCGGTGTCCTCCCCGGTCCTGGCGCCGCCGCCGCCGCCACCACCGCCAACTGGCTCCCCTCACGTGCGGAGCCCGAGCGGGGGGCGAGAAACCGTCGTCGAAGGAGGGACCGCAGCAACCCCAGCAGCACACGACGACTTCTCTAGCAGGAGCCAGCAGAAGCAGCAGCAGCAGCAGAAGCGCCGGCAGGGGTCAGGCAAGTTAGCGGTCGAGGCCGCCGACGGTCCGGTCTCCTCACATGCACCCGCTAGCGGGGTCGGTTCTTCGTCGTCATCATCATCCGCGGCGGCGCCACCGCCGCCGCCGCTGTCGTCGGAGGCACAGGTGGCGGCGTGGGGGTCGTCGCTTCTCTTGTGGCTGAGCGGCCAGTTCTCGGCGGTGCTGAGGAGGGCCGAGCGCTGCAGGACGGAGCTGCGCGGCTCTGCCTCGACGGAATCACCCGCGGCCACGGCGGCGGCGGCGACGTTGAACTCCGGGGCGGCAACGACGCCGGCAGCGTCGGACACAGGCCCCGCCCTGCCGGGCCGCGGTGGTGCAAGCGCCGCCGCTAGCTCTTCTCCCGGCGCCCCTGGCGGGGTGGTGGACCCTGCGCCCGCCGTTCCCGCCCTCGCCGCCGCCGGCGGTGGTTATGGCCGGGGGCGTGCCGTAGATCCTGACTTGGGCTTGGGCGGTGCTATCCTTGTCTCGGCGTCACCGGAAAGATCCTCCGCTATCGTTGCCGCCGAGCGTAGGGGAGGGGGGGGGGCGGGCGCGGCGGCGGCGCAGGGGGGCCACGAGCATGGGGCGGCCCCGGCGGCGGTGGCAGTGTCTGCGAGGGATATCGTGGTGAGGGCGGCGCTAGCGATGGCGAAGGAGTCGGCCGCGAGCGAGGTGCTCGGCATGTGGGAAGCCGCTCGCAAGGGCTACGAGAAGGTATGCATGTGGCATGGCATGCCTTCGTGTGGAGTTGTGGAAGCAGGAGCGGTGGTGTCATGTTTTGTGCTTGTTTAGGGCAAACCTTTGCCGTGGTGCCGTGGTGATACTCCCCCTGACTTTTTGTGGTGATCGGTGACGACGAACGCAGCGCGATTGCTGTTGTCCCTGCTCGGAAGGAAGAGCATTATTATGGTGTGAACTTGTGGCACTCTTTGCAGTATGTGGTGCTTCTTCATTAACTCTTGGGATGGAGCCGTCCCGCACGCCCCTCGTCTTACGGTGTAGCGACATGTCTCGCCTTACGGTAACCCAATCAACCGCCTCGGCCATGGGCAATATCTTCCCGTCTCAACTCATCCCCTCCTTCGCCCGGTATGCCGCCAAAGCCTGGCCATGGAACAACATATCATATTTCTTGCGGGCACAAGTACCATGCTACCTGCATCGTCGACATCGCCGGACACGGTAAATACCACCGAGGTCCTCAAAAAGACATGCAGTGCAAGACATGTCAGTCTATATCAAAGAATGAACACTTCGGCACATCCGGCGGCTTTCGTGACGCCGAAAAGCAAACGAGAAAACCGTGTTTGCTAGAACGACGGGCTCTATTTATTCATGGAGTCCGTGAGAGCACAGATGAACTAGGCTATCATGTCCCACTCTGCGCACGGGCCAGAAAAAGGAGAGTTGTTCCCTTCTTGGTCCATGGGCTAAGTAGCAAACAGGCCTAAATAGCTTCTTGTCGGGAAGGGGACTTTAGAACGATGTCGCTGAGTTGATCAAGATGAAGCTTGAAGATACAACAAACCTCTTTTGTTTCGCGTCGTGCACTCACATGGATCGCCACGCAGAACTCAGGTCTTCTAATCCTACCGAACTTTTTTTTTTTTTTTGTCTCCACTTCAAATCAGCGCTCACAGCACTTACTTATACCGCTTGCTCTAACCCTTGGTCACAGTTCCCTTCAGGAGCAATCGGTGTTAAGACTGTGTGCCTCGATTATTCCCGCCGTTACATACACTTGCATGGTGTTGCTCGCTGCGCCTCCAGTCCCACGCTCACCAAAGCTTCAAGCACCTCTTGTGTCCCTCTGCTGTACCCTTGCTTGCTTATTCCCGGCTGCTGTCCTGCAGTTGGAGGGAACGTACACACACCGAGAGAGAGAGACACACACACTGGGTCCCAGATCATGGCCTTTAGGAGAATTTTGTGTTTCCAACCGCACTGAGACTGACGTCTTTTCATTGGTCAGCCGATTAGCGCGGTCGATGCTGATACGAAAAACACGCACACAATCATTTTGGCACCCTCCTATGGACCTTGTTTTTTACCCGCTGGAACGGACGTCTTTTCATTGGTCAGCCCGTTAGGGCGGTCGATGAAATGTTACAAAATAACAAAAAAAAACGCACACATGTACGGGTGTCCATACATCGGGCAGTCGGTTAGCGAGCCCAATGGCAATTACAGGAGCGTATTTTGGAAACATACACACGCATTGGCGTATTTTCGTTGCTCAGCCTGTTGGCGCGGCCGATGCTGAATCGCAACACACAAAACGCCACTCACCGACAGCGTTTGGACAATAACAGACCGACGGCGTCGTGTCGGCAGGCACACTCAACCTCTCCTTGCTTGCCTTCTGCTCGGCCTACGCGCGCGTCGCATCGGCAGGCACAGTAAACCTCTCGTTGCTCGATCTCTACTTGGTGTAAAGTTTTGTCTCACGCGGCTTCGTGTTCCCCCCCTCGTGCTCGTCGTGTCAGGCCGCCCTCCTTCTAGAGACGCTTCTCCTCGACGCCTTGGTGGCAAGACCGGAGACCACAGGTGCTAACCCGAGCCGCAGTACCGTTGGCGGTAGCGGCCAGCCAGGGCCAGCCGCCGCTCCGAAACTCGCCTGGGGCACTGGGGGAGGGGGGGGGGGGGGGACCGGGGCTCCCGGAGATTCTCTGATCGCGTCGGGGACCCGAGGGGGGGTGCTGACCGAAGCGGACCAACGTGTTCTTCAGGTGAAACATGTAGCTGGTGGTGGTGGTGGGGGTCGTGGTGGTGGTATTGCTATTGGTGTTGCTCATGTTGATTGTGTTGTTTGTCTTCGTGTTCGTCATATGTCAGTGTAGCTGTTGATGGCGTTGCTATCGATGTCGATGTTGTTGTCGTTGGTGTTGCCGTTACTGCTGTTGACGACTGCTGTTGACGGGCGTCACTGTTGCTGATGTTGGTAGTGCCGTTTGTCTCGTGGTTCGTGACGTCAGTAGCACTGTACTGTTTCCGCCTCTCGAGACGTGCGCATCACGACACTCCCAACTCCATTGGTTTGTCGACGAAACAAGGTCATCGGAAACGGTGTCGTGCAAGAGAGGCGTGGGATATGCACGCACGCTGTTGGTGGTCGGACCCCGTTAACGACTCATGTCCCACAGCTCCGCCAGGCGATGCTCACCCCCCTCCCACCCCTCCTGCGATTCATCTTTGGTTCAGAACTACATGACAAGGTTTGCCCGACGCGCAGCCGACGTTGCTGCGAACGAAAAGGAAGAGGCACGGATCGCGGGGAGCGAGGGAGCGAAAGCCGGCACCACGGAACCCAGCGAAGTGTAAATCTTGAGAGAGAGAGAGAGAGAGAGAGAGAGAGAGAGAGAGAGAGAGAGAGAGAGAGAGAGAGAGAGAGAGGAAGAGGTCCTTTTCCCGGCCGGAAATCATGGCGGCCATTGCTGGAGGTCGATTTTTAGGCAACGCGGGGAAGGAGGGTGCAGATTGGGGCGACTCGGCGCTCTTGTCTTCTTTTTTCGTGATTTTTGTTGGGACTCTCCTACTCTGTAGATTTCAACGGAATAACCAAGAATGTGTTGGTATCGTGTTTGCTGGTCGTTCTTCCCTGAACCTGCGTAGCATTCGCTTGTGGATGGCCTATCGTCGACGGGACGTGTGTGGGATTGAGTTGGGGTCCCGAATCAAAACGACACAATGTTTCTACCAGTACAAAAATAAGTTCATAGCTGATTAGCGCGCCGCGTGTTGAGGGCTGCCGCTCTGTCTGTTGCTCGTCGTGCCGTCTTGAGTGCATTGTGGGCATGTCTCTTGTAGTCAGGGCAGCAGGTAATAACCTGTGCGTGCACCGTTCCGTGCCTGGCGCTTTGACTATTTTCCCAACATTTTTGGTATGGGCTGGTGAGTTGAGGTGGGCGTGCATAGCTCTGCTACTGCGACCTACCACGCCCTGTTGATGTGACACATGTGACGCGTTTCACCCTTTTTAGCACGTCGTGGTGACCAACACGGCGAGGCAGACGGTGCGCCGCAGGTATGGCGCGAGACTGCTGTCAGATTATATTGTAGGGTGCTGGGAAGAAAGACCACGTTGTCAAACCCCAACCCACCCCTCAAAAATCTTGTTCATAGCTTGGAAAAATCTGTAAATTCTGATGGAACACCTTCGGTATGACGAGAGGTTTTGTTTTTCTATTCGCGATCGGGATGGGGGACTGCTTACTGTGAGCTGCAAAAAAAATGGGCGGCAGCTCCCGGAGGAGCATTGTTTTACGCCAGCAGCGCGCTCCGTGATGTATTGGGTTCGCGATGTGCAGGGCAACATTAGCGATAGTGGTGTGATGCTCATGGGGACCCCTGCGTAATGACCTTTCTTTTTGTTAAGCGTTCCGGTGTGACAAGGCCTAGTGAAGCAAGCATAGCGAATGAGATCGTACAAACATTTTGTTTCGATAGTGGAGGACACGACCAAGTTTGTTTTTTCTAACTTGGAAGAGTTGCCATGCCCTTGGCGCCGCGACAGGCAGACACACGTGTACGACAATCATATTTTAAAAATGCATCCCCCTTTTCGTTGTTTGCCATCTCTGGCGGGTAGGGATTCGTTGACCTGTTGTCATCTCAGAATAGCATATGGATTGATACTAGTCTAGTGCTGTAGCGTAGTGGCTTGCGTGGCTTCTACATGTAAATGATTCTTCAGTGAATGGGTCTACGAAGCTAGTCCGAAGTCGTTTACGGCAATCCTGATTCTTCAAGTATTCCACGAAAGACGCTTGTCAACCTCTCTGCGTTGTGAACTATGGCCTTCCCTTGAGTTGGCGAGCGCGATGTCCCAAGTCCCCCCTTTGTTGTCCAGAGTATACTACTGTAAATGTTGTTATTCATTCGTCAAGACAACCCATGTGGCGAATAGCCATGTCTCGCGCGAACGATGTTTGTTTGACGTGGTGGCGGTGGCGGCTCGGGCAATTCTCATCGAAGACGGGGCACGGAAAATATCCACATGTAACGAGATACATGCCCGCTCTGGGGTTGCCCAATGAACAAAGATCTTGGATCTCACATCTCAGGGACTATGCCCAAAGGACCTACAACCTGGGCAGGCTAGACACCCGACACACCCCTGATCACCTGGCCTAACCATAAACCTGCTGGTTGTGTAATGCCACGACGGTGTGCTGAGATTGGACCAGGATGGTACAGCAGTATGGGCAGGACTCCTGTCCAACTCGTACCCGAAAACGCCTTCCGATCACAGGTGTGCGGCGAGTATGTATGACCGCACTCCCCGATCCGATTGCCAAAAGAGCTCGATTTCTCTGCATGCATGCAGCAAGAACAGCAGTGATGGACCCGACGATTTGCAGTGTTGAATTGTCTCATTCAGAGTGTTTTTCGAAAACGTCGTGTTGTATGTTCTTCTTGGCCGTCGAGTGATCCCGACCTTGTCAAATTTCAAATCAGGCTGGGGGGGTGGTATCTTGTGCAACCTACAGCATATTACAGACACAGCAGTATCTGAGTATCTGCTGGGTTTGAAAAACAGTTGCACCGCACCCACACAGCAGTTGCACGTTGCCTCTTCCGCCCGTCTGCCGTTGCCCGTTGCCCGTTGCCCGTTGCCCATCGCCTTCTCTCATGGTTTGTTGCCGGAGATTGGCCCTTCCTAGTGTCCTGGCGTGGCCAGTAGCACATGCGTACGTTCAACTTGGCTTGCATGCCGTCGCACGCCCTGATGTGTTGACGACATCACGAGTAAAGCCGCAACAACGGCGGTCCCTGTATATGTCACAGGGGGAGTCATGTAGCAATCGCAGAGTTGGCGGCCGCTCGAGGGCACCGCTGGGTGCCGGCTCGACAAGTCGAGAACAGTTCCTCGGGGGGCTTCTGGCCTCCTCTGCCGCCTTGCTTGCGTGCACAGCAGCGGCTAACGCAGGTGAGACAGCAGCACCGATGCGAGAAGAGAAGCGGCGCGAAAGGGCGTGCCTTGTGTGTCGTGATCATGCTACACAACGACCGGCGTATCGGCTGGTACGCGGTATGAATGAACACGGAACGCCTGCTCCTAGGCGCAGCCACTACGCCAAAGCTGTGTATGCCCACGGTAGCTCAGGACCCTCCGGAAGAAGTCTCTGTGTCTGCTTGTTGACAAACGGTCCATGAGAGAGAACGAGGTGAAGCGACGTGTCGTACAAGGTGCTGGAGCAGTGTGTCAGTGCTGGCTTTTGTGTGCATGCTGCAACAGCAGACACTACAGCAGTGACAGCAGTGTTCGTCCCCGACACGTTCACTTCTGGCAGACTACAGCAGTTGGTTAGGTCTATACGTGAAGATGTTACTGTGAAGAACAACGGTGTCGTGGTTGCCAGAGCCTCAACGGTGAATTGTGATTTGTGAAGAAAGGGACCGAACTCTGCATTCTACTCAGGCTAACAACCCTTGATGGCTGGCAAGTTGATGGTAGGCACTCATGTTTCCAACTCCGACACCTCTGCCTCTCTACTGGTTGTTGTCGACCACTCTCGCCAAACTGGACAAAAGCAGCAGAGCAGAAGGCAGAGGTCAGCAATGCTCCCGCCGTAGCAGGGCAATTGGAATATCAGCAACCCCAACCAACCGCCGTGGTCCCCGAATCGGAGTCGGCAGCTTCAAGCGCCATCTCGGGTCTGGTGGCCGGAGCTGCTGTTTCCACCTCCAAGCAGCTCTTGCTCTACCCGGTTGACACCGTCAAGGTCCGTCCAGCTCGATAAGGTGTGCGTATCGCGTTGTTAGCGGGCTAAAGTGGTTTGCCCGCAAGCAAGACATGAGCGCGCTGCTGCCTACATTCAGCCGCAGTAAATACGGCACAGCCGTAGTCGTGGGGTCCCAACATACCGCGGTGTAGGGACAAGCAATAATGGAAAAACAGAATTTTCGCTGATGCTATGGATTCATTGCTAATCTATCTTAGACTCTTTTCTTCGATAGAGATGGATTCGTTGGGTCATATTGATGAAATAATAAAAATAAAATAACAAGGGCGGAAAATCGGTACCACCACGTTATCCTATATGTAGTTTGGGATTTAGGTTCTGTAGATCGGTTCTACGACATTTGGTTGTTCGACCATAAACACCGAACAAAATTAGCCCAACCATCTCGGCGGGATCATGCCTGCGTGGCGGTGTTGGCTTGCTATGATTCGAGTTCTAGCGCAGGGATGACAAATAGGTGTGGTTCGCCATTACGCACAGCAACATCGCGGGAGGGCGATATAATAGCTCCGTCGCCCCTTCTTCGCCGCCGCAGCTCCTTCCCTTCTTCCGCTTTGCATGGACGCGCCGTTGTATATTTTCTATCAAGCAATGCATGGCTCTGACTGCCTAGGGCGTTTCGTTTCCTTCCTGGCCGGTCTTCTTTCTGTTGTACCACCTAGACTCGGCTGCAGCTACCGCAAGATGGTTCACCTCCTGAGCTTTTCCGCGGATTGTACGATGGTGTCTTACCCCCCTTGCTAGCAGGCCTTCCCTCAGGTGGGATGTTCGGACGTTCAGGGCAGAGAGGCTTCTAGGCTCTGCCTTTCACTGTCTATGTTTCAGGGTAGAGAGGCTTCTAGGCTCTGCCTTTCACTGTCTATGTTTCAGGGCAGAGAGGCTTCTAGGCCGTGCCTTCAACGGTCTATTTGATGGACTCGAGTATTTCCCCGCGAAGCACATGCGCCATGAAGTATTCAAGACCAGGCTGATTTTTTCCAAGGCCGTGCAGAATTTCGCATAGGAAAATGGCCGTCAGCATGTACCAGCGAGTATTGGACGAACAACAATAGTTGTAGACATTTGCTACTTCATACCTCGCCGCTGCCAGGTGCCGATGCATGCTATCGTCGTCACACTATCTCTCTGCGGCTCAAAGCCAGGCAAATTCTTGTCACACTATTCGCTTCTTGCGGAGGCACGCTCGTTGGTTCGGATCAAGTGTTAACGGCACCCAAACCAGACCACTCGTTCGTTTTCCACCTGCGGCCTTATTCCCGCAGGCGCGCTATTTTTCTCGGCGAAGGACGCTTTTAGCACGGCGATCAGCAACGTATCGGGGGGACAGTACGCAGAACTTACGACTATCGCGGCAGTGGGCCTAGCGCAGTTTCCGTACTGGGGCATTCGCACTCCAGCGGAACTTCTCAAGATTAGGTGCGACGATGGGGTGGGTGAGACTAGAGTTTGACGCGCTTGTTTTTTCTGAGAGACGTTCAGTCTGCTCGCCTATACAGTGAAAAGAGAGTTGTCGCTCAGCAAGGTCTTGGCAGCAGCCGGTCCCTCCGTAGCCGCGTCCCCTGCTGCTTTCTAGCTACTGTAGCTGTGCAGCCTTTGGCAACTGCGTTGTTTAGTCGGTTGCGGCGTTTTGTATCGTGCGCTCCCTTGCTCCTTGGTTTCTGTTAGTCTCAACTGTCAGAATCGTGAAATTCCGCCGGAGTGTCCTTGGCGTCTTTTCATCTTCCCGCGTTGAACGGCGACCGTTGCTTCTACTACAAGAGGGGGCAAGTGCACGTGGTCCGAAAACAAATACAGGACACTACTTTTTTTTTCACTCGGTGACTTGATTGATCAAGGGACCAACCCTTCCAATTGCTTTTTCCGCAGGTCCCAGGCTGGTTTGTCGAGCGGAAGCGGGGCTGGATTCGAGGGGGCCAAGTCCATCCTGGCCGACGAAGGCCTGAGAGGGTTGTACACGGGCTACTCCTCCAACATCGCCTACGCCTTCCCGGCCGATGCAATCAAGTTCTTGGTAAGGCTGGTGGATGTGGCTCGTGTTGTATTTACGACTTACCGGGACATTGGGGATTCCTGTGGTCTCGGCGTGCGGTTGTTGATTCCAACCCTCGCTTGACAAAACGTGACGACGTTTGTTACGATTTTTCTGGGGAAAACCTTGTGGCGTTTGAGAGATTTTTTTTGCTGGATGGGACGGGGATATCGCAACACGCCTCAGGTTTCGAACGGAGGGACTGCTACTTTTGTAACGCACAACGGCATTGTTCAATCTTCTCCAAGGAAGCTTGCGAGAAAGTGGCAAGTCGACCCTATTACAAGTTCCGACGTCCATGGAAGATAATTCGTGTCCATCTTTGACACTTAGAGGTCGCTTTTCACCTTATTAGGCTTTCCACATGTCCCGTCGTAGCGAGCCGCATCCTCAACACGTCGGACTTCTTACGCCCCGGGGGCGCCACAGGTTTACGGGGCCCTTAAACGATCCGCGAAGAAGGCCAAAGGCGGTGCGAAGTTGAGCACTATCGAGGCGGCCGTGCTGGGGTCCGGAGCAAGCCTTGCTGCGCAGGCCGTCACGACTCCTTTAGATGTCGTCCGCACGAGGGTGATGACAGCACCTTCGGACGACGAGGGCTACGAAGGTGTTTGTTGCTCGACAGAGCTATTTAGTAGTTCCGTCGTTCTTTGTGTGTCTCCTCCGCTCCAAATGCGGACCGATTTTCGTTTTGCTTGAAGGGTGGCACCGGAGACCTCCACTATGCCAGTGTAAGGGTGATTTATTTCGCTCGCTTGCGTGACGCGCCTTGTCAATTATTCCGCGTGTGGCCCCATCACGAATGGACTTCCCCCGTACGAGTGGACTTCCAGCTTCGCCAAGCTTCGCACTAAACTTATCGAAACTTCTGTCCCGCCACATGCCCTTACTTCTTGCACAAGCTAAGCCTTCCACCAGGAGCACACGAATGAAGTATGCCCTTCTCTAACCGCATGATGACCCCCCCCCTCCCCACCGACGTGCTTGGTGCTGAAGGGGGCGTTCTTGGCGCGCTCGGAACAATTTCCCGTGAGGAAAGCTTTTCGGCGCTGTGGGCTGGCATCAACCCTCGCATGGCGCGATCGGTGCTGAGCGGCGCGATCCAGTTCGGATCGTACGAGTTTGTGAAGGGGCTCTTCGGTGTGGAGCCTCGAAAGTTGTAGCGTCGTGAACGCTCACTACCCGTTTGCCTCTTCCTACACGAGACGTTGATCAGCGCTTCGCCGTAATTCTGTGCTGGAAGACACGCCTGTGTTGGGTGGAGGCCCGCCTGTTACATTTATCGCTGCGAAGGTACACAACCACGCTCGCTCATGTATCTCTTTGGCATTGTTCCATTACATGTAGTTTGGATCGAAAGTAAATTTTCTCTCAAGGGTGCAAGGTGTAGCGAATGGGCAGGAACCGATCGCGAGCAACGTACAAGTCGTTGGCCAACGGGCCAACCGGAGCATGCGAAACGGGGCCGTTGCGACTGTTCTTATTTCTGCCAGTCGATAGTATCGTCCACAGTAGGTCATCATGTGGGCCTCAAGACACGATCCTTGTGAGCTTGACAGCGATTTCTTCTCCAAGGCATGTGCACTGCTCTTGGGCATGGCAAGCGGCGATGAGTTCGATCGCGAAATAGACGTGACCCGGAGTGTTCCCGTGCCTTCCGAGCTTGGACTTTGCGTTCTGTAGCAGTCTATCTTTCGTGCGAGTTATCGGGTCCTGGCGGAACTTGAAAACATGGTAGGGCGTTACTCGTGCACCACCACACCAGGGGAGGAAGCATCTTATCACTATTCGACCTCCGACCGTTTTACAAACCAGGAATGTTTGAGGTTTCCCATGGAGGGTTTAGTAGGTGGGTCACCATGACATCAATGCCGTCCTGTTTGGGACGGAGTTCCAGCTATAATACAATACGTATGCATATTATATGCTGTAGTACCTTGCCACGAAAGACGGTCCCCTCACGCACCATCCCGCACACAGAGCTTCGGTTGATGGTCATTAGGATACATTACGTACACATAGCAAACCAAGTTGGCAGCAGTTGGTCGGGGGGGCGCTGCTTCCGGAAGAAGACGATCGATTTTCAAAGCCCGATTACTCCTCCAAGACGACGAGGATGCCAAAATCAAAGCATGTATGCGTTATAGACCTCTCGGCAAAGCGGTCCCACCACTTCGACCCCACCGCTCCGTGTTTGCTGCAGCAGACGAGTGCTCGAGCACCAAGCATTGAAAATAAATCAACGCGTCCAGGGGTGTGTGGTATCTTACGCAACCTCACGCACATCAGAGGCGGTACCCGATATGATTTTGCGTCGCCCCCGCCGCTCTTTGGCTCGGCTGTCTTGGCCCCCGTACCGAGGTCGTTTGCTGCCTCCTCAGAGCGCGCTTGGCTCCTCGTGCAAGGGTACTCACTCAACCAACGGTTCCTAGAGCGGTGCTCATTGACGGGTGCTAGGCGAGCCAGCGAGCAAGCACGCCGACAGCCGCGATGGCGGGCCGCGTGGCGATGGCGATCTTACTGGTAGCGAGCGGGGCCGCCGCCGCCGGCGGTGCGGAGAGACGAGCGGAGGTGGTGAACACCCAGGTCCAACGCAAGATCGACGTGTCTACGCAGTTCGCCAAGGTGGGATTGATGTCCGCGTTGAGGAATTGCTCTCGTTTTCTCCGACGAAATCGCCTGCGGTGGTGGTGGATTTGCGGTGATTCTTGTTCCTTGAGCCTCACTGCTGCTGTGTACTGCTGTACCAAGGCCAAACTGCCTTGCCCCGCTGGGAACTACTGAAGGACCGTTGCAGCAGACATGCCTCCCGCACACTAGACTATGCATAGTCTGCAGCAGTAGTCTCTATTGGATCACCCATAGTTCTGTGCACTTGCACAGCAGTAAAGCAACCCCGACAGGATGCTTGTGCTCTCCGGAGGCTAGACGACATGCGGCAGGTATTCTACCTCAGCAGCTGCGATTGCCTCGCTGCGGCCGCTCCACGGGATGTGGATCGATCGTGCACGACAGAGCAGTGCGCCTCATCTCTACGCAACGCCTTTTGCGCCATCAAAACCTCTTGTGCCACACGGTGCTGTTAGGTATTGTACCATACACACACGCGCTGTGCAAGGCACTCGTATCCTTTAAACAAACCCGGAACGGATTTTCCGTGCCGGTGTGCCGACGGCTGCGGGGTACCGCGTACGACGTGGGAAACCACACCCGGTGACAATGACTGCGGGAACGGTCCGTGTCACCAGTTGTGGTTCCTGTGGGGGATGTGATATCTTGCGTACACCGGGCGATTAAGTACCGGTCGCAATCTAGAGAGTGTGTGACAACCAGGGGGTGTGATACTGAGAAATCTGGGCGGTTTGAAGGGGGGGCGACAGCACCTGGATACCTGGGCATTGGATGAGTGTTCCATGTCTTCATGTAATGACCGTACAATAGGTGACATGAGATATCATACACCGTGGACCGTTTTTCAGAGCTCGAACTACTCCACAATGAAAACGATACACATTTCCCACGAAACGTTTTCAGAATGATCTCGACGAGGTGGCTTCCAACGCCGCCATTTTTCGGCACCGCGACGCTTCTGTGTGGAGAAAGTCAGCTCTGAAAATCTGTCCAGGGGGTGTGATATATTACGCCACATACGTTATCTCACGTGCACCTGAACCCTAGCATGGACACCGAGAAACCTTATGAAGCGAAAGAAAGCACCCTCTTATCAAAAATGGTTATTATCCCTGTCCCCCGACGAACGCAGAGATGTTGTTGGACATGGAAGATTAAGCTCCCCTACTTAGTTTAGCTCGCTGTTGAACAACGAGCGTACCTCTCATCAAATCCGCGCAAAGCTTTCGCGGTGCGCTGTACTGCACGAGAGCAGGCTAATCAGCGACCACAAGGCAACAACAATAACAAAGATGCAGTGCAAGCCAACAATGCAAGGCTGCTGTACCGGCATACGAACGGGATTCATCCAAAGATAAACGAAGGCTACGCAGGCGTGGTCCTCCCCACCAGGGGCGGGGGTGTTGTGTGCGGCACGTGGTGTGTGTGATCTCGTCCACCGTCTATCGCCGGCGAGATAAGAAAGGGGGGCACATACAGTGGTTCATGCGGGAGGGTGTGCGTTTTATTTCGTATCCCGGGTAAAACTTAAACTTCTCCCCTCGTCTAGAAAACGTTGGTACCATCCGGTGTGGTTTTGTGTGGCTTTTCTTATCTTTGTTTTAAATAGTGTACATTGTAAACCCTCAAAGTTCGATGCACTTGTCGACATGCTCCTATTGATTTCCTTGTTCGTCCTGGCCGCAAACTCCGAAAGGTACTCGATGTAGGTGACCCGCGCCATTGCCGACCACCGCCTGCATCCAAAGCAAGCGCTTCTATAATAGGCAGGCCGTGAACCTTCTGTTCGGCCTAGAAAAATATCCAGGAATTTATTGGACAGGTCTGGAAGCTAGATACGGGCGGTGGATGCTGGTTTATGGTATGTCACCGGTCTGAGCTGGCACATTCCACCCCGTGAGTGGTAATCGGTGATCGGCCCTGTGGGAAAAATGCTCCGTCCTCTCGAGGGCGCGTGGTCAATGGTCAAACCTCCAATCGTGCAAAACATGGAACACCCCCCCGCCCCCAGGTGGTTACAACCTACACGGTCAAGGGAACCAGCGGTAGCTACAAGTTCGCCCTCCCGGCCGATGCACAAGACCACCTGGCCTTCATGAGCGTCACCATGGACAAGGCGGAGCTGGAGTTCGAGCTTGATGCGCCGTCTCCCGGCAGGGATAGCGCGGGGGAGGGGCTGGTGCTCTACTCCGCGGCGGTCGAGCGACCCCAGGACAAGGAAGAAGTGAAGATAGCGGTGGGTTTCGTTGTCCGGGTTCTTGCTTCTTTTGTTCGTCATTGCTTGTTGTTGAGACACAGCACACGTCCTCTTCGTCGGGGAGTACAGTAGTCGAGCTTTCAAAATCGGTGCATGGGGTGTGGTGTCCAATGTCCCCTTCGTATTCCATACAAAAGCAAGCAGGAACACTGCGGATCCTGGGAGTGTACCGTATGCCATAACGGTACCACGCCTAACATGTCATGCCCTCCCACAGAATACCACAGCTGTATCTAGATACGGGACGTTCTAGGACTGCGCCACAACGGCCGCCGACTTGTTCCTTTATTCTTTGCTGCTTGGTGTTGACACAAGCGGCACCTAGATACGAGGCTTTCGGTTTTCCGGGACTGCATCACACTTCCCCGCCGACTTATTCTCTGTCCGTTGTTGTTTGGTGTTGAGACAGCAGCATGTATGAGTTTTAAGTTTCAACCAGCGTTGCACAACCATGGTGCCAAAGGACGCGTACGGGAAGGGAGGGACGTAGCTTCCCCATCACCGCCCCCAACGCTAAGGCCCAAGGCGCCCACGTTGGTGTCTTGCCCGCGTTTCCTTGAGGGATCGACCACACGGCCGCCCAAGCCGCTTGCATCACACTGCACCTGATAGCGTGCATGGCTCCTACTAACATTTTTACGCGTATCTCACCTTCAATTCATCCTCGAACACGCTGAATGCTTGTCTCATTTCCGACTAGCGGAGAACAGCCCCAAGGCCTGGCCTTGTGGGGATTCGATGCCCTGCCCACTTTTCTTTTTTTGACGGAAGCCCACTTGGCTTCCTGCGCTATAGTTGGCCGTACTTGCTGAACCCTCGGTGGTTTTTTCACACACCCCGCTCAACATGTGACAGCAGCAGTTCAACGCCATTTTCACGTGCAATTAAATTAGTCCACAGTAAGACACGCCGGGCGATGCCGCCTACACCAATCCAGGTGAAGGCGGTATATACCGATGTCCTGACGGCCTTCCCGAAGGAGATAACGCAGCTGGAGGAGCAGAGCGTGGTGTTTGCGTCTACCCTCTTGGCGCCGTCGCCGTACAAGACGGTCAAGCAGACCACTACTCTCAAGCTCGCCTCCCCCAAGGTGCGTTATTTGCTGTACGTCCGGTTTTTGTTTTTCTTTCTCGAAGACCACCCAACTCGTTAGAGTCGGGGGGTCAGGAGAGTGGCGCTGTGGGCTGCTGTGGGCATCATCCCCCACTGCTGTGCTTGAGCGCGAGGGGAACTGATATTCTGTGTCACCCGGTGGTTTCATCGGCACTGAACGGTCAACTGGCACTAGTTGCCCCCCCCCCCCACTGCTAAACGTCGGGGTTATTGATGCGGAACCCACCCTCCTTTTGTTTTGCGGGGCGCGTCTTCCATCACTCTGTGTCGCCCAAGATCCTGAGCATGACAGAGGCGCCGAGCAAGAGGTCGGTCAAGTCGGACCAGGTGACGTACGGCCCCTTCGAGGACGTGCCGCCTTTTGCCGACGGGGGCGAGCTGCGAATCCACTACGTGAGTTCCCCGTGCATGTAGGGTGCCCCGCTAAGGTGTGGCGTGGTGGTTTTGGCCCGCCCTTCGTTGTTGGGGAGGGCGCGTGTTTGGCAAGAAGGAGATTGTGTTTACGGGTCACTTGCGGCCGGCCGCTTTTGCAGGCGAGAAGAAAGTCGGAATCCACGGACGCGAGCTCAAAAGTTGCGCATGCGATCGCGCGGCCATCACGTTTAACTACACTGGATATGTTGGCCCCTTTTCGCGCGAATTGGCCATGGGTTTTCGCCCTGAGGGAAGTATTTTGCATGTCGCCTTGAGACACACGTGTTTCGACGGGTGGACTTGTACACTTTACTTGTAGAGGTGTTGGGGGTTGGGGGCATCTGCGCTTGCAGTGGTCAAAGCGTTGCTTGGGCATGAGCACCACAGGAACATCTGCGACGGCAATGCCGCATCCATTGGGTATGGCCGCCCTCTTTGTTCCGGTGGCGTTCTCTTGTACGAGAAGTCGGCGCTGTTGAGTTTGAACAGCAGTAGATTCAATCCGCTCCTCTCTCTCCTGCCCTCACTCCCTCCCCCCCTCTCTATCCCTCTCTCTTTCTTTCTTGTGTGCATATTGCACGTCTCTTTTCTTTGAACTAAACTGTTTGTTGTCTTTCAGGTGAACCACGCGGCTTTCGCCAAGGCGACCTCCTGCCTGCGCGAGATTGAGGTTTCCAACTGGGGTAACATCGCCGTGGAAGAACACTACGACTTGGTGAGTCAGTCACTCGGGTATGTACCGATGATCGAGAATAACTCCCTCTGCGGTAATCGTTTGACGCGGTATTGAGATTGTTAGGAGATGCGCGCGGCCACGACTGTTGAATGGCGGCGTTTTCCCCGGGCCAATATTGAGAGCCTTGGTGACGGTCATCCCGCTTCCTGGATGTCCTTCTCTTTCTGCTCTCGGAGTGTGATGAAGCTGTAACGGTCATTTGCTTCTTCTGCTATGATACCCTCGTTTGTCGATCGTGTAGTCACTCCTTTTCTTCTGCTATGATACCCCCTTGTGCTCATCGTGCAGTCACTCCTTCTCCTCTGCTATCATACCTTGTTTTTTCCATCGTGTAGTCACTCCTTCTCTCTTCTGCTATCATGCCCCCTGCTGTCCATCGTGTGGTCACTCACTCTCTCTGCTATCATACCCCCTATTGTCCATCGTGTAGTCACTCTTCATACCGTCTTTTTGTCCATCATGCAATCAGCATTTCTCTTCTGCTACCATACCCTCTTTTGCCCATCGCTGGGACAGGTGCACGCTGGTGCGAAGATGAAGGGCGGTTTCTCTCGCATGGACTACATGGCCAAGAAGCACGCGGAGTTGCCGAACCCTTCCTTCCGGAAGCTGGATGCCTACCTACCCGCGGGTGCAAGGTACGTTGCCGCAGCCCCATCGTGGGATAGCGGGAGAAGGCGGTAGCTGTACTGGGGCATAGGAAGTAGACTGAAAAGGCGGGAAGCGATATCGATAGGATAGACAGGGTTGTAGGGAAACATTGTTGAGCCACCTTTGGCGCAGTAGAATGATTGGCCATCGGTGATGGGTCCTGTGGGAACAACGCTCCGTCCTCTCTAGGACGACCGTGTGGTCAATAGTCTAGCTGCTAAGGCATGCAAATATGAGTCACCTCCTCACCATCCCCTACTACTGTAAGGTGTCTGTGAGTGGTGGGGGCATGCAGTACGGAAGGCGTGGTTTCCCGCGCGTGTGTTGGTGGAAAGAGGCGACACGGTCACCCGTTGAGTCTGTTTCCTGCCGTTGTCGTGGCCGAGAGGCTTCGGCTTTGCCTCGTGAGGTCGGGTTAGTTGTTTGTTCTGTTTTGTTTGGTGCTGTGAAACGATACAGCAGTTGGTTGTGTGCGCGTGTTTCATACAGAGTGTCGCAAAGGAGGTGAGAGGCGTTTAGGTACCCGACACTCGCTACTGATCTATGCGTGCTGCGTGGGCATGTGGTGGGAGGGTAGGACGATCCCCGCCCCCGACATGGCGCCACGCTCTCCTCTCCCTCTGCTCTACTTTTTATCTCCTAATATACACGAAGTCCTGTGTCAGCCTTTTCTGTGCGGCTCTGACAAATTGCTGTCCGCCTCATCGTGTGGCGTACAGCTTGTTGTCAGAAGCGCAAAGAAAAAAATGACCCCAGGCCCTTGTATATATTTGGAGGAAGGAGTAGGGTTGAGATGGAGGAGAGCGTGATGCCCTGCCGGTGCCTCCGTCGCCCTACCAACCTACCATCAACGTGGTCCCCGCGGTGCCCCAAACGAGAGGCACTCTAGCGTTTCCACGGCACCTAACCGATTTCAACTGTTTATTCGCCCACCAATACAGCCATTTGTTCCAGCAGCTTATTTGTAGCGGTGATCTTGCACAGCATTTTGTTGGTCAGACGACACGTCCCCCCTCCTGCCCGTGCGTTTTTGATGCAACCCACACGAAAGCGACATCTATTACCGGGATAACATCGGCAACATCTCGACGTCTACGGTGCGGCACAACCTCGGAGCCGTGGAACTATCCGTGTTGTCACGGTTTCCCATGTACGGAGGGTGGAAGAACGCCTGGTATCAGGGATACAACCTCCCCACCGAGGTGAGAGAATAGGCCAAGGTAGTGGTATGTTGAAGGGAAGAGGTTAGCGCTCTGGATATCACCCCTCGAAAGGTGCTGTGGGAACAATGTTCCGTCCTCTCGACGACGCGTGGTCATTGGTCTTGCCGTTGAGGCATGCAAAAGTTGAGTACACCCCCCCCACCCCCGGAGACCTGGCCCCACACTACCCAACAAAATGTGTCCCACATTGTGCTCAAGATTTTGATTTGTTCCCGGAACTCAATATTATGTATGCACTTCTGGCCCCCCCGCGCTTGCTGGAGGTGGCCCCGGGGGGTACCAGTATATTCGCGTGCGCACGTTGTGGGAGACACAATCACGACAACAAGACTCCTGTGAAGGCTTAAAACTTGTGCGCGGGAGTGAAGAACGTTGTTGTTGTTGTTGTTGTTGTTGTTGTTGTTGTTGTCGTGTTTTTTCCCCTTTTATTTCCGGCTGCTGCCGCTCTTTCGTCAAACACTTTTCCGGTACCGCTCCTTGCCGCTTTGCTATGGTGTGGTGCGGGTTTGCAAGGTCTCGTTTCTCTATCCCACAACGTTAACCCCCTTAGGGGTATTGTTAACGCAACGAAAAAAAAACGCCTTTTTTCACGGAACGGTGAAAAGAAGATCCGATTATTTTTCGCTTGTTCTAATCGTGATGTCATCGCGAAAAGTTCGTTTCCTTCCCTGAATACACGTTTTGCTCGACACACAACAGGTTGACATGGTATTGCTCACCATAGAGCAGCGGTGAAAGCGCAATGAGCAGCACCCGACACAGAGGACAACACACTTAGAAAGATCCCGTCCACCTGGCCTGTTGTTTTCAGTTTTCAGCAACAACAGGCGCAGGGCAGAGTGTCGCCACCTGGGTATTGCTTGCGATTTCTTCAGTTTGCCAGCTCATGTTTCACGGTTGCGACTCCCATCTTTGACCACCACCTGCCCAAAGGTAGACGAGCTCAACAATCATAGGGCGGCAGCCGCGCTGACGGCCAGCATCATATAGATGGCCAATCCGAACGAATTAGCGTGTCGGAGGCCCTGTTGCTCTACTGCTGCGTGGTGCCGTGGATTGATGTTGATGCGTCCGACCAAAAACAGATAATCTCGCCGCATTTTTTCCAACGGCATTTTGGTGAGGTGGCACACGTCTCTCACACACTTTATTGAGCAGCACCCAAGCACCCAATACCCACGAAGCAGCACGGCGCCGGGAGATGGTATCATATAGACAGCCGAACCGAAGGAATCAGCGCGTTGGAGGTCTTGGTGCTGCTGCTGTACTCGTTCTACTGTTTCCGTGTTTGCTATGTGTGATTGAAAAAAAAAAAACAGCACCAACAGCAGCAGTTGAGGACGAGAGCACCACGCAATGCCTAGTTTTGGGCCAAGAACGGACTGAACGCCGCTTCTGCCGCTTGTCCATCTCCACACCAGACCTGGATATGAGTCTGGCAGGTCTTTCTAGCGTTCTCAGTGATGTTACAGCGCCCGCGGTGCGCTTGTCCGATGCTTCTGTCAAAAACACGGATTCGTGAAAGTAGCAAGCCCCAAAAAAACCCGGCTCCTTCTTTTCACGCTTTCGGGGAAAAACGCCTCCATATATGTTCAAGAAAACACGGTTTCGTTTTTTTTTTCGTGTTTTATTGGTCGATAAGAACGACCCTTACCACGCACAGAAAATTCGGCGTTCTTGCGAAATTTCTGAAATGTAAGAAAAAGGGCGAACGACGCCTGCTGATTCGATGGTGCAGACAGTTCCATCCCTGGGTGCAAGTGCAAAGCTGCCTTCCCACTTAAGCCGTCTCTTGTCTATAATTCCTATCAATTGTCCCCTCGATACGAGGGGACATTTGATCGGGTTTATAGACAGCAACTGGCGGGAGCGTGGTAAACGGGTCACGAAAAGGAGGTTTTCAAGATATTTCTCTAGAGGGAAAGCGAGACCTTCTAACTCAAGCCCTAGGTTGCTCGGTGCCTCCTATCAACGGTGGGCTAGGTACTTCTTCCGCGCTTGCCCCTAGTAGCGCTTTCCACCCAAGGGTAGACAGACGCGGCGCAACTTCGCTGTTGAACCCGCGGCGTAATCGCCCCGCGATTCGACCTGTTCATTACCCTCATACTCCTCCACTCTACAAAGCATCCATACTAGACTAGAGTCGTCCCTGCGTACCCTGGAACCCCCCTGGTCGAGTAGTGCAAAGGAGGAGACAATCATGCCATTCTTCGCGAGGTAAAGCAGGCAAGAAGATGGGGACAAAAAGTGTCCCCAAAAGGCGATCCAGCCCTAAAGGAGTTAAGTAGCTCTTTTAAGTGACGGCCCCAGCTGTACACCACGCTGACGTGTGCTCCGTGCGACGTTGTGGTGCGTCGTTTCGCGCTGTTGCTGCTGTACTGTGTACCAGGCCGGCTTGCGCCACTCCGGGTCGCACTTCACCCTCGAGATGCCGTTCGGGCCGCCGTTCCCTTCCGTGTGGGTGGAGGATCTCACAGTGAAGGTGAGGAGAAGGCTTGATTTTTCCGAGGACTCGTGTCAGTAGGAGGGGGAAAAAAAGGCGGTGCAACCCCGGCGCTGACGGTGCGTTGATTGGTCGCTGTGGGGGGCGTTTCGTGGGAGCTGGAACTGTCATTCCGTGAGACATTTTCAACCACACAGCAACGTTTTGTGGCTGAAAATCTCCGCCAAATAGGACTGACAGTGCACCAAATAGGCCGTAAGTAGCCTTGGCAGTTTTTTTTTTGTTTTCAGTCATCATGTTGGATAAATACAGCATGCAATCGGGGAAGTTGGGTTTAGGTTTTAGGGATAGGAGTATATAGGATCTGCGTACCCCCTCCATGTTCATTTTTCTCGTAATTCTTAGTTCCGCGCGAAGGCGGTCCCAAATAGGTCGCCCGCACCGCTCGTGCCCGGTGCCCCCCCCCCCCCCCCAAACAAACAAGGTATTTTTTCGGAAGGGGCCCCCAAAAAAATTTCCCTCCCCCCCTTTCAAGGGGTTTTCGAAGGGCGAAAGGAGGGTTTTCCCTTTCTCCAAACCCCAAGGTCCCGGAAAACTTTGGGGATTATTAAAAATAAAAAACTCCTTTAAGAAAACCACCTTCTTTTTAAAGTTAAAACCCTTTTTTAAGCGCCCTTCCCCCGAAGGGGGGTTTTTTATTAAAAAAGGGGGTCCCGAAGAAAGGATTTTTTTTTTTTTA